GCTTTTGAGTAGTCAATTGGAGATGAGTCTCCCAGACTTTCCTTCCTGGGCTGGCTTCACACTGCAATGTTCAAATCCCAGCCTCTTCCAGAGTAGCTAGGATTACAGGCCTGAGCCACTGCCACCCAACTTGCCTGAATTCTTTAATATTTTAATAGATTCTTAGTGTACAACACATTGCTTACAGTAAATACTAATAGCGGCATACTCTTGTTCTATCAGTACTAACAATGGCACGTTGTCAGTTTAACAGATGAAGAAACTGAGGTGCAAAAGAATTTTGGAAACTTGCCCAAACCCGCAGCCCAGTCACTATGTTGTTAGGCTACAGTGAGAGAAAATTCTAAACCAGGAATTGGGAAGGAAGAGCTGTGATTGGAATCAAGGAAGTCTGGCTCCAAAGTGCATGCCCTTGACCAGCCAGCACATGGCCTAGCTTTTGCATACCAAGAAGGTGAAAGTACAGTAAAGCAACAGCAGCCAGGCCCTTGGTGGAGGCAGAGCACTCAAAGAAATGTTCAGGTCCTCTTTTGTAACTGCGCTAAGGCCAGCGCTGTCCCACCGAGCATTCACATAGAAATACTGGGCCATGGATGTGGAGAAAGCCCAAGATGGTAATAGGATCTGAATCCCTTAGATTTATGCAGACCTATACTCTTATTTCACATGTGTGATCTTCCTTTCTGTGCCTTCAGTTCTCTGACACAGACTTCTAAAATAAAGCATCACCAAAAAGCCAGAAGGAGCCCCTTGCGGGTGTTTTGATTTTTGACCTCCTGGACTTACAGGGTTTAGGTTTCTGTCTGTGAGATGGGGCTTGTCTCAGCACCACTGGAAACGTCTGCATAGTTCTGACCTACCCTGGCATGACAAACAGGTTGAAAGATGACTTTTAGGATTATTGTTACTAATCCATCAGCACTGGGTGTGGAATAGAGAGGGAATGGTCTTGGGTAGCAGGGGTCAGAGAAAGGAAGCATTGCTGGATACAGGTGTTACAGGAACTCCCAGATGTGTCTGAGCTGGACACTGGACATGGTGACTTTTGGTTCACTCTTAAGTGCTCACATGACTTTTATTGTGGTAATCTGAAGAAACAAGGTCAGGGAATGAGACAGTCTTCAATTGCCCAACACTAGATAATGCCCTTGCAGCTAGCTAGGTCTCAGCCCCTGAAATAGCACTGTGATTATGAAAACCCTTGTGTGTGTGTGTAACTGTGGTCACAAATGCAGGGAGGAGGACCTAAGGGGGCTGTCTGAACCCCTTTCCTGTGATTCATATTCTAATTCTCTGAAGCAGAATCTAAGAAGGAAATTGGAAACTTCCCAAGAACAAAAGAACAACCTACAAAGAAATGGCTTCATCTGCCTTTGATTTCAGAAAACACCTACTGCTCTGATTTATAAACATGCCCCTTTCTAGGCAAAAGTAGTTCAGACGGGTCATACTGCCTTGTTACAGTTCCTTTGCATTGGGTTTTGCTTAGCACTGATCTCCCAGTGCTTTACCTTTGAAAGTCACATGCAAGGCAGGTTCCTTGCTTCAAACTGGCAAATGCTCAGATGAAGCCTGGAAAAAAACAGACCGCAGCCCAAGAAGCAGAAACCCTAAGTTATAGTCCTGGTGGTTGCTAACTGTATGTGCAACTGTAGGTACCTCTCAACCTCTGTAGTCCTGTTTCTCCTTTGGGAAATAGTAAAGACTGGATCCTTTGATAGATTAGATCCCCTTGGTTGTAGGAACATTCAGTGAGTCTAAGATGAAGGCTTTTCAGAAACTGCCCATCTCTCAGCAAAAATGGAACAAAGCAGCTTTTCACTTTTCCCCGTGTAGAGTAGAGGAGACCAGTTCAATTGGTTGCCTGAGCAGTCATTAGGAAGCCAGCTGCAAGCTTGTGTTTCCTTCTGAAATCAACAGGAGTTCCCCCTTCCCTACCAGTAGAGTTTTTCTTTAAAACAAAGCTGTTACTACAAAGCTGGTATGTACATTTGCTATCAATTATTCAATTCTTGGGTGCCCTGGTTTGGGTATTTGTAGGGAGTAGAGGGGGATTGGGCAGACTTCCATTCAACATTCTTATTGGATTTAACAGCCTTTACTCTAGGCTAATACTGACTTGTATATCACAGGTTAATACTGGACCCATGCATAATGATACATAATTTGAGACTTGTAAAAGCTGCCTCGGACTTGAAAGAAACACACTCTATGCCAGGAAGGTTGTGCCCAGCATGCAAGAGCAAGTAATCGGGGGAGAATGTATGTCCAAAGGAAGGGAGCCGCGCCCTTTTGACATGATCTGCAGGTGTTCAGTCCGGAGCTGCCAGGCAACCATATCTTCACAGCTCTGGGAGCCTCACCCTCTACCCCAGCTCACTCGTCACAGCCATTGGAAGACAGTTCACAAAGGACAATTCGTTACCTTTAATATGCTCAGAAATATCTCATGAATTTGCAAGTGATGCAATAAGATTGCCCTAATGATTTCTAAACTTTGTTTTTAAGACTTTGGGGCCAGAAGCCTAAAGAATTGCTTTAGGGCACTGTTCTACCTCAGATAACCAAGCTGTTTGTTGGCATTGCTGGAGTCTGACATAGACAGAGCTGGGATGTTTAGCTGTTTGTGGGGTGGAAAAAAAAATGTTAAGAAAAATAATTGTTGTTTTTGCAAACTATCTATTTAAAAACAGAACCTCAGGAAGCAGATTTCTGTTCCAGTGCTTGGATGAATCAGAGCTTACAAAGTATAAATACACATTAGCAGAAGGAGGCTTCCCATAACCCATGTGCTGTCTTCCCAGACCAGGAACCTCTGAACTCCTGTTTCTCATTCCCAGTAGAAGCAAGAGAGACCCACAGTCAAAACGGAAGTGGTTGGAGTATTGTCGGCCCAAGTTTAAACCCTTGGCTTATGGGCCTTTTTTTTTTTTCCTTTGAAGCCAGCTAGTTTTTAGCTACACACTTGCATGCTTTTAGATAGGCAAGTGTAAACCACTTAGACATGTTAGGAAACCCACACTTTGGTTCCTTTGGCTCTTTGCTGCTCAAGAAATATTACTAAGTTAACTTTGACTCACTGACCCCTCAGATCAACTAATAAAGATGAAGCACTTAGACCACAACTTGCTCAAGGGGCAGTGTAATTATTTTACTTAAAAATGATGTCAGGTGGCAATTTAGCAACACACTGGCTTCCAGGCTATTTGATTCAGTTTAACAAGGAGGAAAAACATTATAATTAATGGAGAGATTGTACTTTAGTAGGGTTGTTCTCAAATTTTACTGTCCATAAGCTCAAAAGGAAGATGTGGGTGGGAGCACTAGTTGAAAATGCAGATTCCCAGACCCAACTTGGCCTTAGGCTGGGCCTGGGGACCTACATTTAAGAAAATTCCACTTTCAAGTCATGCTTCTGATCACTCAAGTCTCACTTAGCTTTTAGTCTATCAAAACATATCCTCCTTTCTGATTTTGTACTATGTTAAGTTCTGAATCCCAGGGCAGCTTCTTATCCTAAACTAGCTTTCTAGTTAATATCCTAGTTTTACGGCACGTGTCTACTAGGATTTTAGCTAGCCAGATTTCTGGATTGCAAGTTCTCTTCCAGGGTCACTTTAAAGAGGTTGAGAACAATCCTGAGGAATAGCAAAGGCTCCGGGTCCTCTCCTTTTACTCCCCTGAACCCAGGATAACCAGGGTTCAGTTGCTTGCTTCCTCTTCACAATCTTGATCCCACAGGAGCCTTGGCTAGGATCTCCCACTATTAAAAGTATCCAGGACCAAAGGCTCATTCAGACAACACCCTTGAATCTCAAGATCACTTCCCTACTGGAATGAAGAATTGCAGAGACTCATTAAACATTTTTTTCTTGGCACAAAACTATTTGGCAGCTACCCAAGGAATTCTGGGGTCCTGCAGAATCCAAGTTATAAAAGCCACCAGAATAAGGTATTGTTTCAGAATGGTATTTGCTGCTAAACTACAGTCTCCAAGCTCAGGGGGTTGTACTTCTCCCCTTCTAACCCCATCTTGCAGAAACCAGTTGTCCACCAGCAGGGATTAATGACAAAGTATTGCAACACTAAGGCAGGGAGATGTCATGGGAATCTGTACTTGCTATCCAGGTTTTTCGGAATACCTCCTCAATGAGCCAAAACATGCTGTTGGAGCTCTTAGGGCTGTCACAGATCTTAGAATCCCTCGGTGGCCTCTGCTCATGCACAAGGAGCCAGAAACACTTAAGAGTCTGTCATCCATTATTAAACAGTTGCCCATCTGAAAGCAGTGCATTTCCCAAAGTATGCCTGTCCTCCAGTTTGTTTGCACCGGTTGGAGTTGTACTATGAAATCCACAAGTGGGTGGAGCACTGGAAGGCAGTCTGAGAAGGGTAAGCTTTGGCTTCCTAAACCAACAGCAGGGAACTCCTGGGGACTCCATAAGGCTGTGGGAAGCTATCTGTATGCCTGTCACCATGACTCATCCCTTGCTGTAGAGAAGCCAGAAGCCCCCCACACAATACTGCCTCCTGTATGCCATATTTGCCCTCTGGTCACCAAAAGCCTGAGCCTGACAGAATGGCAGAGCTTTTGTCCTGTATAGGAAACAGCCCACCCTGAATAGAACCTCACGCGAGGTCAAGACACCCAGCATCCCATGCCTGATAGGCCCACTCAGAGCCCATCTGCTTGATATGCACTGGCCCAAGGACTAACTCATAACAGGGAGACGAGCCCAACAAGGTATGCACTGGCCCAGGGACTAATTCACAACAGGGAGACCATCCCAACAAGGTACGTCAGTCAATCGCAAGGATATGGTCTATAAAATGGCAGAACATCACTATTAATCCAAACCACCAAGGGGGACAAAAAAGAAAAATCCAACCCATTAATTAAATCTGTCTTCATCCCCAACACCAATGCCGAAGTGTTTAAAAGCCCTTTAGTCAGTGGGCACTTCCCACAGCTGCTCCCAAACAAGTCACCTCCATACAAGCCATTGATCCAGTGGTATTTATTCAGGAATATGCACACTTGCTGTTGAACAACAAGGAACACGTGGCTCCCACAGCTCCTGCCTCATAGCACCCTCAAGGTTCTTTTGAGAACTTTGGATGAGTTTTGTGGTTGGAAAGCCTTTCGGCACCTCACCTGTGCCCCTGTCAGGCACTGCCTGCCCTACTCAATTGACTGCCTGCACAGATCACAGCCAAACCTGGAGAACTACATCAGCTCACAAGAGGCCACACTCTTCCATGTTTTTCATACAAAAAAAAATTTAATAAATATTACTTTTCAAAACTTATTGCCAGGAACAACACATCAAAGATGCATTTTTTATGTTCAAATAACACTAAGAAAACAATACAAAGTTATCTTCACGGTCTCACTGGTGAACCAACAAGATTGCTCTGTTTTATAAGCCTTTTTCATCTTCAACTTGGTAATAGTACTTTGATTTCCTCACTTAAGGCAGGCAGTGTACTCTATAGCAAATCTAAACAGTGATCTTACTGGACATTTTATGGTTCAAGTATTCAACTAGCTTATTAGAATACTCCCTAAATGCAGTAGATAACAACAAGAACTCAAATCTACAAGTGGTTCAGTATTACATACGAATGGTGAAAAGAAATCAGAATTTACAAAATAAGATTGGTGTGCTTCCAACTCCACACAATTTTGATATTTTTAATGATATTCAACCACTCACATCCTGGCTACATTTAGTCATAGCTCAACGTGTTCCCTTGAACTGCTCTGTAGCACATCACCTGCCTGTCTCTTTTCAAGTCTAAAGCAGGAAACAAAACAAAACAAAACAACAACAAAAAAAGAGAACCTGTTCTAGACTAATTCTCAAACTGCCTCAGTCAGTCCTTAAAACGTGTCTCAAAGTGATGCTATCTATCTAGAAGGTGTTTTAACATCTGACGTCGTACAAAAAAAAAAAAATTCCATCAGTATTCCCAGGCACAGAAGCCCACCCTATCTTTTTAAAATAAAACTATTTTCAAACACCTTAAATTTTGACTTATAGGCAACACGCAATGAGAAAAGAAGTTCAAAAAAATAAAGCCATACACTTACAATGCTATCAAAACCTTCAGTTCTAAACACATACATATAAATAAAAAGGAATGATGTTTTTAAGGCTCTTGATTATTAAGTTAATAAATCAAATATACACAGTGATTAATAAAAAAGAATTATTTACATAACTATACAAAAATTCTACTTTTGACACATTTTTCCTCTTTAAATTCTTCATTTTACCAGCAACTGCTGACAGCAAAGCCCCCCTCCCCCAACGACAAAAATACAATAAAAAAAATAAATAATAAACTCATTTGTGATAGTTGCTGTGGTTCTGAGCTGCAAAGGCACTTTTCAAATACAGAACTACTTGTACGTCATCATAAAACCAATATACAAAAACAACTCAAGAGTCAATAAATATAAATAAAACTATGCTAAGACTGCATCACCATTAGGACATCTGGCAGAAGTGGAAGCTCGAGGACTAGGGGCTGGGCAGTGTCCTGGGAGCCCAATTCTTGACGTGTCAGCTGCAGGGAACACACACCAGTGCATCAGGGCACGTTGGACTCGTTTTTTGCATAGCTGTGAGGTGCAGCTCTTGATTTCCCAGCCAACCACAGAAACTACCATTGCCAGTGTAAGCCAGCTTGTCGAAACTTAAATTAACACAGGGATTCTAAGTCAACAACAGCCTCAGACTCAAATATGACAACAGTCTAAAGAAAACAAGCCCCGAGTGCCCTCAAGACTGTCAGACTCTACCTAGTAGTAGCAGCCACCCACTGTCTGCTATACGATGTACTCCATCCGGTTCAAGCTTTGGGCACTTTCCAAGTCTCTGTTGTCCTGTTTGTTTGTCCAGTTTGGGTGTTTTGTCGGCGTGCCATTGGGGGGCTTCTCCTCTCTGTCTACCAGCGTGTATACTGGCTGTTTGGCAAACCGGGCTTTCTGCTGGTGCTTATCCATGTCATCCTCCTCGACTTCAGAGTTGTGTGTCCTTATTTTAGACATTTTGGAGTTTTTGTTCTCGTAATCCTTGATGGGGACTGTGTTGGCCCCGTGCTTCTCAATCGGATTTTTGATCTGGTTCAGCTGTTCTCGCACATTGTTGGTGGTGTTGTCTTCGGAGGCCGAGTGTGTGTGACTGCTTGGCTTACGCCGTTTCCGCATGCACCAGTAGAATGCCGTCACCAAGCAACAGACCCAAGCCACCGTTAAGACAGAGCTCAGCAAAGGAACCAGGAAATCTGCAAGGTAGGCATGGAACCAATTAACTCTACTCCCCAATACAAAAAAAAAAAAAAGCCACTGCCACGGGGGAAATAAAATGCTGGTTCTCCATTCCTTCATGCCTAAGGAGGGGTACCATGGGGACAAACCTCTCTTCACAACTGCATCTTGTCAATTCACGGCTTGATAATAAAGCAAGTGCCGGGATCGGGGACCCAAGAGATCTTGACACTTGGGTCCCCAGGCCAGATAGGATGGCAGGCAGCGCCTACAGTCTGTCTCCACATAAGGAGAAAGCAGTTTCTGGTAGAGTCTAGAGGATGCTGACTCTTCAGGCAGCTCTTAACTGAGGCTAATTTTCAGAAATCTGATCCGAAATCTGATCCATACTTAGATGGGCCACAGATATGGGCCCTTTCTCATCTTGCTAACAATGATGCTGGAGAGACTCAAGAGGAGTCTAGGCATTCTGATGGGTTAACAACCCAGGGCCTCACAGTGTTCAGGATAGGCTATACCATGATACTCAAAGGCCAAGGTAGGCTTTGCATAGTCTTGAGCTCAGCAGCACTCTACCCTAGGGCCTGACATGGATCTAAGCAGGACCCTCTCTGCAGGGGAGCCTGCAGGCAAGAACACATAGCTTGCTGGTGGGGAAGAAGGGTCAAGTGAGCTGTCCTCAAGCAGCCAAGTGATCTTGGCAGATAGACTGGCCTGAATTTGCTCACTGGTGGTAGTAACTTCCAAGAGGCAGAGAACACTGTCAGGAAATCCACCTGGTGGCTTTACTGGATGTGTTAGGAAATCAATAACAGTCATCACAAAAAAGAACTTTTCCCACTAGGCACCTACCTGTTCTGTTCTTCGGAGGCCGCCTCTGAACTCTCACTTCTGCAACAGCAGCAATAAGGGAGCTGTTTCCTTCACGCTTGCTAACGAGGTCTATTATTTTGTCGGTGATTTCCTTGATAGGGTTTCCATCATCCCGGATATCTTCAGCAGACTAGAAAAAGCAGAATTGTCAGATTTGACTAAGGGAGACATCCTACAGTAACCTTTCCCCAAAATTATGACAGCACCTATGTGTAATACTTAACTTTCTATGTATTTGCTCCACTTGGATCCTCGCTAACTGATGTTTATCCCCCTTATAGTACAAGTTAGGTGTGAATAGGTCTTATACTCACAATGGCTACATGTATCTCGTTGTTTGCTGAAGGGGAAGGTTCACAAGCTATGTAGATGGAATATTCAGCAGAAACATTCTTCAAAATATTCAGATTCCTCAGTTCACTGCAAATATGCTCCGTAGTAAGACCCTAAAACAATTTTTTTAAATCCACACATATAAGACACTGAAAGAATCAAAGGGCTGATGTTCACAAACTGCCTAAATTCAAGCCTTGTTTTGCTCTAAGACAGGAACTTAGGATAAAGAGAAGTAGATCCTAGGCTTGTGCCACTACTTTTCAGACAGGCAGAAAGTGCTACATACCGGTGCCATCATCTCTTTGTTAAAGGTGAATGTAATGTTTGCACAGTTGTCCTGATAATAGGAGTCGGAGGTGCACTTGGTCTTCACTGGTTGGAGACTCGAAGACCGACACTCACCCACCCCCATGCAGGGACGGACGAAGCACTGGTCATCCAGGATGGGGATGCAGTTCTGCCCACTGGGGCATTCACTGTGCCCTTTGTGGAGTAGGCAAGGTCGAGGGCCACACCAGACCTGAAGAGAGGAAAACAGGGGCTGGGGCTCAGCAGGAATAACCAACCCCCATGCTTGCAGGACACACAAGAACCACAGCAACCCTCACACCCTACCTTGGAGCAGGCGATGCGTCCATTCAAGCACTGGCAGGTGTTACAGTCATCATCCCACTTGGCCCCATCGGGTATTACACTCCCCATGGTGATGCAAGGTCTCCCTGAAACTGAGAGGCAGAGATGCATGAGTACAAGTTTCTTCTTCCATCGATGGGATTATGGTTCTTAATCTTCCCTCCCTATTATGAAGTGGTTACACCTGTGTCCTTTGCCATGTGACCACAATTCTTTCCATGACATGAGGCACGTGTACTCCCGACCCCCCACTGACTCCTCATTCGCCTACATGACTAGCTTTGGTTGATAAAGTGATAGTAGTGACCTGAGAAACCCTCTCATCAGGCTTTCAGAGATCACCTCCTGTGTGCCTGCCATGTATCATGAAAAGCACATGCCTTGGAGACAGCTGCCTATTGGTCCACTTGAATGGGACTCACAGCACAATCATTCCACCCACAAGCAACAAAAACAAAGGCTGACTGCAAGCCACAGGGCTTGAAGCTGCTTTGTTACACAGCATTCGTATTCAACAGCTGAGTATGAGAAGATCCCATGTGTTTCCCTTTTTCTGTTAACTCCCACTGTGCATCCCTCCCCGAGCGTGGAGCCCACTCCTGAGCAGCCAACTGATGACCGGGAGACCCCTTGGTCCTGAAGAAACGGGGCTGCATGTGGGAGCACAAGCCATCAGATCAGCACTTGAGCGGCCAAGGCAGAGAATCACCAGTTCAAGGCCAGTCTGAGCTATAAAATGAAGCCCTTGTCTCAAAAACTAAAAAGACACACAGACAGCCTGGGCCTGGCATACATACCTTCTTGGCACCTGGTACCACTGTGCCCCAGGGGGCAGATACACCGGTAGCCATTGATCTCATCCACACAGGTTGCTCCAAAGGCACAAGGTGAAGACTGGCATTCATTGATGTCTGAAAGAAAGGAGCTTGAGTTGAGACCCCCAACAGTTGGAAGCACATAGTCAAGTTTTTGCAGACATAGAGAAGTATTCAAATCATGAGTACAAGCTGTTTACATGAGTGAAAATTCACCAAGACACGAATTACTAATCTCCCCAAAATATACTTAACCAGTCACTGACCCTCCAAAGATTACTAGTAACTGACTTTTAACAGCTGAGAACCATTTTTGTAGGCAGCAATTTCTACTCAAGTTCCTGTGTCACTGACAGTACAATTTAGAGGAAGGCCAGCAGCCTTTTCCTGAAAAAAGGCCAGAGTAAATACTGCAGACTTTAAGGGCCACAAGGTCTATCACAACTACTGGACTCATGTGGTATTGTAAAAGTAGTTACAGACAAGCAACAAACAAGTGTGGCTCTGTGCCGACAGAACTTTATAAAGATAGGTAGTAAGCCAGATGTGGCCCCCAGAAAGTTGCTTGCCAAACCCCAATCTAGAAGCATAAAATAAGTACAAGCTATCCTCACCTAGCACTGAGGTCAATCCCAGAATTGGGAATGTGGGGGCAACAACAATACAGTTATTATATTACCTTTACTGAATGTAAAAGAAACAGTATGTAAAAGTAAATAAAAGTAGGAGAAAGCTTACAATAAAGAATAAACTTTCAGCTTCCTGAAACACTATACCCTCTACCTCCCACTTTTCTTTTAGTCATTTCTCTGGGCCTGATCAGATCCATCACAGACCAGTCCATGGAAGCCACAGTCCCAGCCCCTTCATTTGTGTTAGCCTGGTCCTACCCCAGTGTCACTGTGGCTAGCATCCGCTTACCCACAATTTCATGTTAGTCATGAGGAAAAGCATACACTTTCCTTGGGGCTATAGCATAGCTTAATCATCAAATTCTGTGGCTGGCACAATCCCCAAGAACAAGGCAGCTGTGCTACCCTAGGAATTACTGGAAAGTACCTGGGAGGAGCCAGCTAGGGGCACTTTAATCCCAGCTGGAGGCAGATCACTAAATTTTGACTATGGCTTTGTTGTTGTTTTTTCGTTTTTTGCTAGTAGGGTACTTGAACTCAGGGTCTGGGTACTGCCCTTTAGCGTTTTTTGCTCAAGGCTAATGCTCTACCACTTGAGCCACACCTCCACTTCCAGCTTTTTGGTGCTTATTTGGGAGTAAGAGAGTGTGAACAAACGTTCCTGCCTGGACTGGCTTGGAACTGGGATCCTCACCATCTGGGCTTCCTTAGTAACTAAGATTATAGGCATGAGCCATTAGTGCCTTTTTTTTGGTCAGTCGTGGGGCCTGAACTCCAGGCCTGGGTGCTGTCCCTCAGCTCTTTAGCTAAGGCTAGCACTCTACCACTTGAGCCATACGCCACTTTTGGCTTTTACTGTTCATGTGGTGCTAAGGAATTGAACCCAAGGCCTCGCTCTACCACTGAGCCACTTTCCCAGCCCCTGACTTTTCATTTTTAAGGATGAAACATTCACAAGCTGAAGAATGGAACCAGGGGATAGAGCCAATGGGGAAACCCGGACGAGGGCAGTCCTTACTTATTCTGCAATCAGGCCCAGCAAAACCTGGAGCACATTCACACCGGTACCAGTTGTCTCCATCCACGCAGGTGCCACTGTTGTAACTAAGAAGAAAGCGAAGACCAGCTCAGTTACTCCTGACCCACAACTCCATCCAGCCATCGCACCAAGTCATGCCGCTACCATCACGTGGCTTTCATCTTTGGCCACATTCACCACTGCCTGAGCCACCCCAAAAATACTGATGCCTGGGCCTTACCCCCTAGAGAATCTAATTTCCGAGATCTCAGTTGCAGCCCAGGCATCGGGACTTTTAAAAGCTCCCCAGGCGATTTGTGTGTGCAGCCAAGGTTGAGAATTTGCTGCTCTAAATGAAGACACAACCTGGCTAATTAAAGTGTGGTCCGCACAGCACCAAGATGGGCATCGCCTGGGAGCTTGTTAGAAAAGTAGAGCCCCACCCCAGACCTCTTGAATCAGAACCCACATTTTAAACTCAATCCCGGGAGATTCCCATGCATATTACAGCTGACAAGTAAGATCTCAAAAGGCTGCCACACTTACCAGGGATGAGGGCTGCAGTCATTGGTATCTGCAAAGAAAAGACAACAGTAAGGTCTTCGGCAGGGGGGAAATGGGGGTCTTAGCCCTCAGTAAAAATCACCACTTGTTTCCATAATACCCATATGATAAAGTCACAGTTAACACCAGCCAAATATACTTAAAACCTCTGCTAAATTGGAACCAGGCCCATACCACACTCAGTTTCATTTGCCGTGGGACACATGTACACAGGAAGAGGCCCTGGTAGGGGACTTAGGGATTGGGGTGAGAATGGGAGGAAGGCTGCTGGTCAGACCCAGAGCTGGGAACGGAGACACCATCTGTCTCCACTTATCTCATCGGAGCTTTTTCTCATGCCCAGGTCAGGACTGTATCCTATCAAGTCATTAATACAGACCCAGGTGATATAAAAGCAGACATCAAACAGTGCTGCTTCTGGTTTCTGGTTTCGATTGCAAGTCCCCAAGGACACCAGGATCTGCTCCAGCAGCCCTGAGAGAGTTCAGGGGGAAAGACACTCACTCTGAGTGCAGATGGGCCCCTCCCAGCCTTCTTTGCAGACACATGTGAAGGTCTCGCCATTGACCACACAGGTTCCCCCATTATGGCAGGGGTTGGGCAGGCAGCTACTGTTTCTGGCTACAAGACAAGAACAGACAAGACCACCCTCCCTGAGGATCTGGTAGGCTAGAGAAGCATGCACTAGGTTCAAGGAAATGACGGTAAGCAGAGTCATTCAGGTGGCTACACACCCCCACACACCCTGCCGATCCCACTCAGGATGAAGAGTTACCTATGTTACAGGTTGTTCCTTCCCAGCCTCCAGGACACATGCACTTAAACGCATCCCCTTCATCATAGCAGGTGCCGCCATTGTTGCATGTGGCCTCATCACATTGGCTGTCACCTGGAGGAAGAACATCTCGTGATCAGCCTCAGCACACCTACTTCTCACAGGAGACAGAACCGAGGACCCAGGCAGCTAACACTCACGGGAGTGGCAGGTCTTTCCTTTCCAACCATTTTTACAGTCACAGTAGAAGTCGTTAACCAGGTCACGACACGTGCCCCCATTGTGGCAAGGGTTCTGGCTGCAGTCATTAATATCTAGAATCAAAAAAAGAGACAGTAGCTGAAGAAGATTCCAGGACCATTCACCATACACAGGAACAAAGCTTTCTTAGGGCTATTTCTTTTTATGTTTATAGGTTATATTTTTGAAGACACATGATAAAATCATTTATAACATAATAAAACAGAACTATAAAATGCCCCAAAACAAAAGAAACCGCACTTACATCCACAGTTCTCTTAATAAAAGGTATCTTCGTGCCACTATCCAGATCTGTCTAGATCTTCATTTATAATAAGCCTTCTAGCCCACCAACCTACTCTTTCTAACCCCTGCTTTCTACTGAGCATGTCCTGAGAACATGTGAGTGCTTCCCAAGACTTTACCCCTTTTCAAGGAAAACAATGGGCTTCCAATTGGGCTACTTGGAATACTACAAGTTAGGCAAGTAGCACACAGTGCCCTGGGTATTCCTACGACAATTCTAATCAAGATGAACAAAAATTAAAAACAAAACAGAACCATGTCTATTTATCTTTATAAAGGGTGACATTATCCTAACTACCAATCTCATTCTATAGCTTCTCAGGTCCTCTCCCCTTATTTCTCAGTAAATGCACACAGAACACAAACAGTGAGTCTGCCAGGGCATTACTTCCAGAGATTTCTATACAAGGGAAAGCTCTCCCTGACTTGAGGAAAAGGTGAAATAATCCACCCACCACCTCCACCTCCACCTCCCACCTCCACAAGACCCAGGGACTCACTGGTTTCACAGTAGGCTCCCTCCCAGCCATCACTGCAGATACACTTGTATGAATTGACACCGTCAATGCAAGTGCCACCATTTTTACAGGGGTTGCTCTCGCAATCATTAATATCTAGGAAAAGAAAAAAAATCAGAACTGAAGAACAAGTAAGGCCCCCAAAGCAAGCATTGTCTTGCTGTTTTCCTGAGGTACCCAGTATCTCAAAATTCTAAACTCGTCAGGACGTTCTCCTGACAGGTGGCTAATCAAGCCAGTTTCCAGACAGTAGCCCCTGCCAATTTTATTCAATTGCCTCCACACAGTTATTTGGTGAGCCAGGGGAAGAAAACTTCTACAGAAGACGAGCCACTCAAATTACTAAGATACCCATACATTAGTCAGGGGAGCTTCAGAAGCATCTAGGTGATCTGGTCAATGGAATAAACCTCAGTCCCAGATCCCAAATGTCATGATTTGGGATTGGGAACTGGTCTCTTCCTCTTTAACTTTCTGGTTAAAGTAATTCCAACTCAAATGTTCCTAAGCTGAGCAGTGATGGGGGCAGAAGGCACCGCACTCTCTTCCCTGATGATGGTCTTACTTTCATGGCAGTATGTTCCTGTGAAGCCTTTGTTACAGTCGCAGGTGAATTTGCCTCCCGACTGGCTCTTGCACTTCCCGTGGGGGCCACAGACGTTGGAGGAGATATACCGCACCCCTTCAGGTGTGTCATTGGAAGCCATGGCCACGGTGCAGCTGTCAATCACTGGAATACAGACTTTGAATCAGATCCCAGCCACAGAGACAGAGACAAGAGACAGACACAGACACACACACACACACAGAGCATCAATAAGCAAGGAGCCTGCCTTACGGGAGAGGGACTCCCTTTGTTAAAGAGAATAAGACAGCAAAAGACATCTTGGGACCAAGACCACATGGCACACCAACCATGATAGGCCAAGTTAAGACTCCAGCTGGGTGATCTCATGGTTCATATTGTTATTTTTAATACAGTAGCTATATAAAGAGGTTTCAACTCAACATGTCAACTTATTAACACAATGCATCTTGATCACTGTCTTCCCCTATCATTCTCCCCCAATCTGATTTTAAAGACTTTTTCTAAGCCTCCTTCATCCCTCTTAACATCTACCTCATTTGTTAAGTACTTGCTAATGCAAAAAGGCCTGCTCAACTTCCTTCCATCTTAATCTTAATTAAGCAAGGCTGAAGGAGAAAATTACAGAAACTTTAAGGTTGTGCTGCTCCAAATAGCAGGCATGAGCCACATGTGGCTGTGTTTAAAGGACCAGTAAATGAATGTTTTCTTGTTGTACTTGGTGACAATCTAAATGCCCAAGGACACTACACGTGGCCTGTGGCTACTGTAACCTGATGCAGATATTATAGAACATCCCCACTGTTGCCAAGTTCCACGGACAGCATCACTGTGAGGAATTGGTCTTGGTGTGGTGCTGCAAATCAGCCCACCCCAGAACCAAAATGATAAATGGATTTCACATTCCCTCCCCTGGGCTACTTGTATACTGGCAGGCCTGAACAGATTGTTTCCACGTGTTCTGGCTTCCCCAAGCGATCAGATAAAAGCAGTTGCAATCTATTGGTCTCCTTTACCTATATACCACTTCTACAAGCCTGAGGGGAGATAGCAAACATGGGATAAGAGGAGGTCTGGAAACATCTAGGTCCTGGGGGAGAGAGGTACCTTCACAAGGTGTAGTGCGGCAGTGGTCTTTCAGGTGTGAGCAGTTCTTGCCCTCATAGTCCTCTGGGCACTTGCAGAAATAGTCGCTGGCTCGATTGTAGCACTGAGCACCATTCTGGCAGGGGTTGGGTTCACAATAATCTATGTCGAGCTGCAATTATCAGGAACAAGGAAGAAGGGGCAGAAAGCAAAGTAAAACAAAAGGCATTGCCATCCCTTCTCTGAGAAGAGCAGCTACTGAATCAGACTCCCCCTCATCTACTTCTACAAGAAGACACCCTGAACATGACACATCTCTTGTCCTAGGGAATGCTAGAGTCCAGGTAAACAAAATGCATGTCAAGCCAGGTACTGTGCTCCATGCCTGTAATCTTAGCTACCCAGGAGGCTTAGATCTAAGGATCGAGATTCAAAGCCAGCCCAAGCAGCAAAGCCCACGAGACTCATCTCCAATTAGCCACCAAAAAGAAGCACAAAGAAAGAGGTATATGGCTCAAGTGTTAACAATGCCAGCCTTGAGCACAAAAGCTAAGGGACAGAACCCAGGCCCCAAGTTCAAGTCCTAGTGCCAACACACAAATCCCAAAAAATACAGAGCAGAGTGGCAGAGGAGTAGAACTGAGAGTGTAAAATGAACCAAACCAAAATAGACATGCTAAGCAAGCTCAGAAATTGTTTATCAGCATCTCTGTCCACCAGCATTTGTCTAGCAGAGATTCTCTAGTTAATTAGATGTTAACAGACGTCATGAGACCCCAGACACAAGAATATGGGTGTGTGTTTGGGGGGCAGGGGAGAGGGTGTGGCAAGGACAAGGGGGAGGAGGCTCTGCCATAAAATCTTAACCCAAATCTGAGGTTTCTGCCTCCGCTCACCTGACAGAGGTTTCCAGAGAAACCAGTGGGACACAGACACTGGAATCTGTTAATTTCATTCTGACAGTGACCCCCATTCAAACAGGGGTTGCTGGCACATTCATCGATGTCTCTCTCACAGTGATCGCCTGCATAGCCAGGTGGACAGATACAGCGATAACCATTAACCAAATCCTGGAAGAGGAGAAGGGGAGGGGGAAGAAACATGCTTTTTTTTCTATGTATTCCACAAACACAGAGCTCCAGCGGTTTAACACGACTGCTGCGGTTCTGCTGATTCATTGAAATAGCCAAAAGCCAAGCCTCTCGCCAGGGGTTAGTAGTTTCTGCATGCATGCCTTTGAAATGACTCTGGAGAGGCTGGGGTTAGTAACATGAGCCCAAGTCAAACTTCCAGGGACTCATTTTTCACCTGCATTTTTAAATCTCACAGGGACACAGCTCTCCCAAGCATCATAAAATCTTATGATTTGCTGTCAATTGGCAAGATTTTCATTGACACAGACGTTTAACGTACCCGACAGGTGGCGTCATTCTGACACTGGCCAAGGCAGTCATTAATATCTAAAAGACAAATAAGTCATCACATTAAAGAGACACTTGACATTGAAATTGAAAAGCCTTCACAGCTCAGTACAGATAAAATTTCAAATCAGATTTCCTCTATGCTTCCTGTGAGATAAGGTATTACATATTACACTGGGGGGGGGATCCTCCCTAATTCTTCCAAACTGAGGGAGTGAAACTTCACATCATTGTTTTAATCACTTTATCAGAATATGGCTACTATTAGCAGCTAATGAGCCTGATAAATTATATGTTTTCCTTGCTGTGCTGGCCACTCCCTTTCCAAAAGCATTTCCGCTATAAAGGTTTCCTCCTACTCCATGATGCTCATTTGGCCAGCATACACAAGGCTGCAAGTTCAATCCTTTAACATCAGAAATGTTTTTTCTTGAATGTCTTAGAAATGGAGTGGGAGAATTAATAGGCAAAGTTTCATGAAAACAATGAAAAATCAACACAGTCACTCACTTATGTCACAATTCTGACCCATCCAGCCAGGAAGACAATCACAGTAGTAGCTGCCAATCAGATTCTTACAGGATTTGGCATTTACACAAGGTTTGGCCTCACATTCATTTGCATCTGAAAAGAAACAAGGATGAGCAAGGAGAAACAGAGTTCAGCACCCCCAACCCCCCCCAAGAGGCACCATATCAATAGGTTGGTCTGCAATAAGGGGCATTTTAACAAGCCAGCTAAAGAAGAAAATACTAGGCCCCTAGTATTTTGAGCACCTAAGCCTTCTCCCTAGCTGTTATCGAATAAGGAAAGCTAATTGATTACTTTCTAGCTGCTGGTTAACAACTGGTCCCCCAAAGAATAGCAGAAAGCCACCAGGCATTTCTGTGCAAAACCAGTGCAGCCTAGTTGCTGGGATTTCAGCAGGGCCAGAAGAATGCAGACAGCTCATTCCTCATGAGATCATCCCTGTTTGGAACCCAGCTGAACACTCCTAAGGACAGAGGGATTGACATGGTTCAAGGAATCCCACAACTTTCCCACAGGGCCTAAAAAAAGCGAGCCCATTTGCATTCAAGTTATTTCTCCAGGACCCATGAGACTCTTGATAATAAATTACTTCTTAGGATGATAGAATGCAAACTTGCTCCACCGCTGGCCACATGCTCATCTCTCTTCCCGGGTTTGAATGGCAAAGCCACCCCTCAGTTCAGGAATTAAGAGTCACAAGAATTTTCTTACCTAACTGGCACGTCTTGCCAGTCCACTGGGGAGGGCACACACACTTAAATCCGTTTACCAAGTCCTGGCAGGTGCCCCCGTGGGAACAGTTATTTGGAGAACAGTCATCAATGTCTGCTCAATGGGGGGAGGGAGGGGGAGAGGAGACAATTTAATTTCAATCCATTTGGTAATCAGATAATACAGTCACAACTCTCCTGAGGAGCCCAATGGCAGCTATAAGCAAACTACAAGTAAAGCTATAGTAGGGCAAGTGGGAGGGTAATGATAAGGCCCAAGCCTTGATTTTAGCTTTAAATCCCCCACTGCCCCAGTTCATTTAATCCTCCCTTAAGCAGTGGGGGAGAAAAAGACAGCTGGAGCATCAACTCAGTGACAACACTAGATAATCTTTACTTTGAAAGGAATAGTTTTCATTGTGGCTCAGAGGTCACAAAGGGAAGGTATAGAAAAGTAACTTCTTTACAGGTAGAAAATCATCTGCTGCTGATCTGTTCGGTTTCCCCACAATAACACACCCAGATGCTATACCCTCCTGCACTGGGTCGCAGATTTCCCACTTTGGTTATGATGTGAACCACATGTGCATTAACCAACAGAGCCTTTGTGATGTCCTTTAGAACTGAGAATCGCTACCATCCTGTTTAAGCAAGGCACAAGAAGCCTTACCTGCACCCCTAGGTAATGGATGAGGTCTAGATGCAAGACCAGGCCTCTGACCCCAGAACCCACATCCTAAACCATACTTCTCACTGCTCTTGAGGGTGCGGATGACAGTGGTTTTCAAGCCTGGCTGCACCTCAGATTCCAGCATCTCATTCAAGACAATAGAACTGGAGGGAATCTGTGGTACCCAGTGCCCTGCACTGTGAAGCATCCCATGAGGTCCCAACATAGGGCCAGCTTTCACAATAGAGCAAGCTCTGCAGCCTGGTCTGATGAAAAACATCCCCTGAAAAAGCCTCCCCATAGTTCAGGGAGAATAACCAGGATTGAAGGTATCAGGGCTCTAGCAATACATGCATAAAAGGAGCTGTTCCATGAGAAATCTCTGCCAGTCACAGTTCCATTCTGGCAGGTTTGATGGAAGCCCTTGGAGACTTGACCAGACTCCATACAGCACCCATTCTTCTCCCACTCAGACAGACCTGTCATTAGGTCATTAAGTGGAACAAGCCCAAGTATCTCTCACCAACCCTATCTTAACCCTCCAGAAAAGACACTGACCAAAGCCTAGACTTACTTGTAGAACATGTGGGTCCAGTCCAGCCAGGAGAACACTCGCACTCAAACCCCAGGGAGGTCTCTTTGCAGCTGCCTCTGTTGTGGCAAGGATCTGAGAGACAAGCGTGCTCAGCTGCAAAAACCAGAACAGTCAGACACCCACTCCTTGCCCGGCCCTCCCCCTGCACCTAAGTCCCACACCCTCAGCCACCAAGTCCAGCATGTTGCAAAAAAGTAAAAGCCAAGCATGTGACGTAACCCTGATGTGTCGAGGAAAAAAGAAGAGTTATCTTTCTTGTTAAGGTTTCCCCAACCACATTCCAACATACCTTGGAGCCCAGAGGTTCATGGGACAGACTTCCTACCCTAATCACACCACCCTAAACAAGTTATTGAGTCCAGACGTTTCACAGACCCATCAAAGGGCTGAATAACAAGTCTTTACTCTAAAAGTTATGTTCATCTTTGTATAGTGGCTTAAGTCTTTTAAACTGAATGTGCCCGAAAAAAATGAAGCAAGGTTTTTCTCACTCAGCTTGGACTACTTACCGATTTCACAGTTGGGTCCTGAGTACCCCTCGGGGCAGGAACACTGATATTTGTCAGGGCCTGTGTTGCTACAGGTTCCCCCGTTGAGACATGGCTGATGAGTCCCACAGTAATTGAGATCTGCCAAAAAGACCCCAGATGTCACAAAGGGAGAATTATCATAGCTCTAACCTCACCTCTCTTCTAAAAAGTAATTCTCCCTAAAATAATAAAATACCTCCACAGTATTAAAGGCCAATTCAAACAGATTCAGAAGAAAAGGCCCCAGCAGCAGGGATGTATCTTGGTGGTGGGGCCCTTACATAGCATGCTTAAGGCCCTGTGTTTAATCACCAGCACCACGAAAGAAAAGTTAATACCAAGTCACTAAGCCGGGTACCTGTTATCCTAGCTACTCAGAAGGCTCAGGTCTGAGCACAGCAGTTCTAAGCCAACCTGGGCAGAACAGTCCAGGAAACTCTTTATCTCCAATTAACCAGCAAAAAGCCGAAAGTGAAGCTATGGCTCAGGTGGAGGAGCATCAACCTTGAGTGAAAAAACTAAGCCAGCACCCAGGGCCTGGGTTCAAGCCTCAGTATACACACACACACACACAAACCACTGTCCTACCCCAACATCTCATCTTGCTCCTGAGGTCTGCATCCCACCTCCCAGGGCTCCCCCCTGATGGCGTACCTTTATCGCAGAGCTGACCACCCCAGTTGGTCTCACAGAGGCACTGCCAGGGCTCATTGCAGGTGCCGTGGACACATCCTGGATGCGGAATGCACTTATCGCAGTACAGGCCTTGCCATCCATACTGGCACCTGTAGACAGACAACACAGCCCCGCTTAGCCTTCTGAATATGCAGGGGGATCTGCATGGCTAAAACACTGCAGAAGGCCAGTCTGTTTTTGTTTTATTCTGGGAGACAGGATGGCAGGCTTTCAAGGCTTGGGGGTAGGGTGGGGGCTCCTTATAAACATTTCACAGTTGGGCTAAGATCCCCTCCCAGACAAAAGGAGGGCTGCCCGGGGAAGAGCCAGCATTGGGTGCCCTCCACAAAGTAACTCTCTTCTCCAGCTCCCACAAATGAGCTGAAGGTAGGGGCCTGGAATAAATCAATCCTAGGACCTTGTGGGGACAGACCATAGAAGGAAAGGACCCCTGGTGACAATAGATGTGCAAATTCTCCACCAATGCTGGGCTTGCAGCTCGGCTAGGCTTTGTCTCCACAGCAAGTCATAACTCACTCCAGTGCACAGAGACTCAAGGAGACACCATATGAGACAGGAAAATACCTCATGATGCTACTTTATAAAACCAAAAGGAGCTGGGCACTGGTGGTTCACACCTGTAATCCTATCTCTTCAAGAGGCTGAGATCTGAGGCTTGTGGTTCGCAGCCAGCCCAAGCCAGAAAGTCTTTGAGAGTCATCTCTAGTTAACCAGAAAAAAATGCTAGAAGTGGGAATTGGGGCTCAATAGTGTCTGCCTTGTGTTAAAAAAAAAAAAGCCAAACTAGAGCACAAGGCCTTAGTTCAAGCCCCAATACCAGCACAACCACAACAATGAAACAACAACAACAACAAAACATGAAGAGGGCAGGCACCCCTCTTTCAGCAAAGACTAAAACTCCTTGAGTAAAAGCAGCAACACTTGACACCAAGTCCACAGATAATTTATGACCCATTACCATGGCTGTCCATGCTAATTTAGTCATTTCTCACTTTGCGGAAAGAGGGGAGAGAAAAGGGAGAGAGAGGGGGGAGACAGGGGAGAGGAGAGAAGAGAGAGGAGAGAGGAGAAAAAAGAGAAGGGGAGAGAGAGGAGGGAGGAAGAGGGGAATAGAGGAGAAAGGAGGAAGAGAAAGGGAGAGAGGAAGGGGAGAGGAGGGAGAAGGGGCAGGGGAGAGGAGGGAGAGGGAGAGAGGAAGGAGGGGAATAGAGGGATGGAGAAAGGAGAGAAGGGGAGAGAGGGAGAGAGAGAGGGAAGAGAGGGAGAGAAGGGAGGGAGAGGAAAGAGGAGAAAATGAGGAGAGGAGAGAATAGAGAGGGAAGAGAGGAAGGGAGAGGAGAGGAGAGGAGAGGGGAGGAGAGGGGAGGAGAGGGGAGAGGGGAGAGAGGAGAGAGGGAGGAAAGAGAGGTCAGCTTAGTTTATCTAGTTTTAGGGGAGTTGAGTTTCCTTTATAAGCACCTTGTTCATCAGACTCTTTTGAAACCAGATGGTGTCTTTGATCACCAAACAAAAACACAAACATAAACCTTCACCTGGGGTGGGAGAGAGGGCAGGGTCTCAAACCACTCTCCCCTCAGGTTTCAAGCTCTCTGAAACTTTAAACGCCTTCTCAAAACCAAGCTTTTAACAAAAAGGGATGGGAGAAGGCAGGGAGCACCAGCCTGATGGTAGAACGAAAAGTAGAGCAAATGTGGGTCACGTAAAATCATTGCAGAGTGGGGCCTGGGAAAAGTCATAGAGCTAGCCACCCTGTAAGCTGCTCAGCTGTAACTCTGGAAAACAACCCCCCTCCAACCCCCCAGAAAGAAAGGCTTTTGGTTCCAGAGAGCTAGAGGCAAAGCAAGCAAATCCTTGTCATGGGAAAATTATAGGGATCTACCAAATAGCTAATCACCCACGGCTGCAAATCAACTTAACCCCTGAGAATACTGACTAACCACTTCCTAACTTCTCAAAAACAAGCTGTCCACACCCAAACACAGAGAACCACTAGAACATTTGGCTTAAAATTAAGCAGACAGGATTCTGGTTTATAGAAAATAGACCCTCAGTCTAAATAACAAGTGACAATATTTAAGAACCCAGTAAGTCATCTGATAGGAATACTTTAAAAAACAATAACAACCAGACACTCATGGGAGGCATGGGGAACAGAGAGCCACTCTGTCAGGTTGATATTTTTAGCCCAGGAGATAGATACTATGAGGACTGATAGGGCTCAGCCATGGTCTTGCTGTCTCTTCCTTTACCCTTCCAAATTAAGGATGACTACATCTCTTCAATTTGCCTAATCAAAGCAGGGAAAGACAGCTGAGGACATGACCTAACCTCTTAATTAATGAGAGTTCAATCCCCACACATAAAAAAAGCAACCACAAGAGGCCATGGATGACTTCAAAAGAAAACAAATAAAAATACTGACCCTAAAAGAGGCATCCCCCAAGTTATCCCAGTTTAATAGTATATGATTAAGATTCTCATGAGAAATTGAAGTGGCTTTCCTCATAGGATGATTCATAATTAACTTCGGTATCACTCGCAGGCTTTGCAATAAAGTGAGCATGTGCACCCAGAAAGAAGCAACCTGAGTCTTACTTGAGAACAAAACCAGGGGAAGTTTTCTCGCGTGCAAGAGGGGAAAAAAAAAAAAAACAAACCAACAACACCACCCTGTGTAATACATAATCCAAAAGACAACTTACAGGTACTTGCCATTCAACTATTTCTGGAGCAGGACCCAACCTGAACTTCCTTAGCTGGAAGGTTCTGTTTTGATTTTCTTTTTTAAAGCAAGGAGAAGGAACTGGGCTGGAAGACTATGCAAATGCTGTGTGGGAAAGTGGCAATTTAAGTAAATAAGAGCACCAGTGCGTGTCTGGGCAGGGAGTAGGAGGTGAGACTTCGAAAGAGAAAGGGCTCAATTCTGGAAACAAAGCCTGTTGTTCTGGCTCTGAGGGCCCTCCCCTGAGCAGCAGTGTGTTTATTCTGATGACAGTAGCACAAATCACCAACAGCCAGGCTGATACTCATCGGAGCAGGCAACAGGCTCTGAGTCCCTCATAGACTTTCTCCAGCACACTCTTAATTAAGGAGAGTTATAGTAGGTGGATTCCTGCTTTGCATTTGACAGTACAGTAACACCATTACATACTCTGGTCAGCTGCCACCCAGGGGTTGGTAGGTGAATTCCCAAAGTCTTCTAGAAAATCCACTTTTAGAAATAAGGAAGATTATGAGGAAGATTATGAAACGGTAACCCCTCTGCACATCACCTTTATAATAAACATTTAAAAAAATAAACCCAACACAAAACAAAAATACACACACACAATTGGGATGAAACAAGTTCAGGATAATCTGTTCTTATTTCTAGCAGCCCTGAGTCCCACTTCAGCCTCAAGTGCTTCCATTGCATGAACAACACACAAAGCAGGTGGGTGAGATCAGCAAGATAAAGCCTACAGGTAATCTCTTTAAAGCAACAGCCCTCAGATTTACTAACAGGTGAAATCACATGGTCAACTTTCATAAGCAGGTTCCTGGGCCAAATCAACAGATGGGACTGGATGGGGGAGGAGCCGAGGAACCTATACAGCACCCAGTTTAGTTGCCCTGTTTAGTTCCAGGAATTGGCAGTGTGAATACTACAGTCTGGATACACTGATTCTCAAAGGATGCTCCCACCAGCAGCAGTACCATCATTAGGGAACCTAGTCCCAACGCTATGGAATTGGGATCTTTGTTTGAATAAGAGCTCCAGTTGACCACAATTGTTTGAGGTATGTTATACTGGTTCATGAACTGAGGAGCTTTGGAGGCAAAGGTGACAGTATTCAAAGGACATACTTGGTGGCACATGAAATCTGCTAATTTGACAGGGTGGGAGAGTAAAGTGTGAGTCACTATGGAAATGCCACAGCATTTCCTGAAATGAGTCTTTCCCAAAGTGGCATAATATACAGTTAAAGAAGCCTCCAAAAACCATCAGGAAGCAGTCAGGGTAGGTCTCCCTTTGGCTTCTGCATTGTTCCTGGACCATAAAAGAAAAGACTTCAAAGGCGGCCAGCAAAAGTCTACATTCATCAGGCTCAACTGAGCAGATTCCAGCGCAGCCATTAACCTCTCAGCACAGGCCCAGCCTCCAGCCTGCAAAGGGCCAGGAGATTGGACTAATCCCATTCTAAAGAATGCTGGACTTTTGCCTACTGATGGGAAAGTGGGGGAGGGCAGAGAGAGGAAAAGCCAAAGCCAGGGGAGGAGGAAGAGGAAGAGACTGAAGGAAACAAAGCCACATCCCTCCATCTAGTCCATTAGCACTTTGAGGGAAGATTACAAAAATGTGTTATCAATTTACAGGACAGTTAATACATGAAGTCACTGGCTAGGCCCATACTAACAGTTCCTTTTTTGTTGCTCAAGAGAAAAGTCACTGTTTGCATTCCACCAGACAGCTGTTATAATTTAATAAGCTTCGGATGGGTATAATTTTTTTTTGCAGCTTTCTTGTTGTCCAAAGAAAAAGTATCAGTATAGTCACAAGAAAGCCAAGTTCCTCTGTTGCATTACAGGAAAAAAAAAAAAAAGGTAAGAAAACACAAAAGACCGATTTACTCATTTACCTGCAGTCACCGGGGACTTTGCAAGACCCATGCTTGGGACTACAGCCTTGTCGGCAAATAGCTGCAAAAGAAAAACAAAACAGAAGGGTGTGTCAGCATGCTGCCTGGGTCTCTCCCTCACTGCCATCAGTCCTGAGAATGGCCTAGTCCATTAAGCCTACAAAATCCATGATTTTAAGAGATCTCATATCAAGCCCATCGTTAGGAGAGGAAGATGGGAGGGGCCCAATAACAAATCCAGCTTTAAACTTCAAGGCCATGCTAACAGGGCCCCAAAACTTGATGCTGTTTGGGGACATACTGCAGACAAATGATGGGGGGAAGGGAATCCTTCGTGCAATCTCCACAATAGCTATCCAGCACCTTGAGCCCCTGCCCAGGCGATTCCCACACTGCCACGCCCATCCTCATCCCATTCATACTGTCCTATCAGGGCATCTTCAGCTGAGCCCCAGCCTCCTTTACCCCCGCCCCCAGCAAAATGCCTAGTTTCAACAATCCCACGGGGCCAACTGAGCCAACCAGGCTAGCTTCATTTGGCCAGCTAATCCGGCAGCCAGATCTGGTGGTACTTCTGTATTCTCACAAAGAAATCCTATACTTCCTTCATTTAAAAGAAACTGAACACTTAAAAATACTACCATTAGAGCTTAACTGCTACTGGTTTTTAAAAAATGACTGGGACATGGTCAATTCCTGACTTCCTCGCGATTCTGGAAATGCCACCCATTCAAAATGTCACCAGTTAGTGAAGAAAGCAGTATTTCCCAAGAATCCTCAAATTCCCCCCAGGCCCCACCATTCAGAGTTCAAAAATTCATTTTTTTTAAGTTTCTCACACAAGAATTTAGCTAATTATCATGTAAGATAAGCAGAGGGCATCATTATTCAGGAGAGGATAACATATGGTTCACTAGAATTCCTATCAAATTGCTAGGCACATTAGATAATCACTGAGCTCTAGGATAAGGGGCTGGGACAGGAGGCAGTGGAGAATACTGAAGGCTTACACTCCTGAGTGGGCTCAATCTTTCCCTCCACATCACAACCCCCACCCCGCAAAAGATGCCTGGTGTCAGTCTGCAGCAGGGCCACCTGAGATTTGGAGGGTGCCACACCACCACCCCCAACAGCATTGTCCAGGTTACCATGGGTCATCCCTGCTGGCATTTGGCTCCTCAGAAGCCAAGGTGTTCGAAGGACAGGGTGAAAGTGAAGAGGCAGATGGGGGAGGAGAACAAACTGAGCAAGGACATGGTCTCAGCTGCAGTCTGACTCCAGCCCGATCCCAGGGGAAGCTCGGCAGTGTGAATCCTGTGCCACAGCATTAAGGCAAAGGGGGCTGGCCTTTGTGCCCCTTCTGTCAGTCACTCGATAAACTGTGAGCTGCAAGAATGGGACATGAAGTGGCTCCTGCTTGGCCAAGGACAATTCCCTGGAGAAGGAGCAGCTGTGAGCTGTTAGCAGCCAACACTCCGGGCAGCTGGGGGATGGGGACACCAGCTGGTAAAGGGGATCGGAGGGGACCAACAGCCTCCTCTACATACTCTGTCTTCACGCTCCAGGCATAGATAACAACAACAACAACAAATCCCACCCTGCTTGAGATAGCAACTGGCAACCTGACTGCTGGAGGGAGAGAGAACTTCACACCCAAAGCAACAGGCAGTCCGGACCGGCCACCTCACCTAGTACACGCACACCCATGTACACACACCTTTGTTACACTCGGGGCCCATCCAGCCCTCCATACAAGTTTTGTTGCCATTCTGGTCACAGGCATAATGTCCAAAGAAGTCATCTCTGGGCCGACAGAACTTATTACAGCCGAAGCCATAGTAGTAGTCATCGCAGGTCACACGGATCTGATACTCAAAGTGCGCCACCCCCGTGTTCTGCTTCAGTGTCTGCCACTGCCGACTGGGGTTTATCATGCCTGAGTGAGACGCCTTTTCAATAATGCTATCAGGTTCTACAGGAAAGAAAAAGAAACAAGATGAATAGCGTCAACATTCACAGCAGACCCTCGCTGCCCTGATCATTTTGGCTATAGCTTTTTTTTTCCCAAAGGAAAACTGGGGCACATGAAAATTCAGACATTTAAACAGAAAGTTGATCACCTCTCCCAGAGACCACCACCATGACCACCTACTGAATCTCTTTAGTGGGCTCGTAGCATAGTTTATTGTCTGGAAACACCTTTGCATTCACGTAGGTAGTCCCTGAGGTGTGGACATCCAGGTTTTGACCTTTGGCTGTTAAAGCCACAGGTGAGCATATTAAATCAATCCATCCACATATACATTGCCAACCTCAATATCCTGAGACCTTCCATTTCTTTGCATTTATTTCTTTGGGAAGGGGCCATGAGGTCAAGGGGAGTGGATTAAATGAATGCAGCCATCATATCCTTATGTGAAAATGAAACTAGGAAAACTGAGAGGATGGAGGGGGTTGTGAAAGATGGGGAGAAACGATGGAAAGGTGACATCAAGATGCATTTTACTCATGAACCAATGTTAAATTTGAAACCCCTTCGTACAATAAAATTATTATTCAAAAAATAAAAGTACTCTAAAAATGGAGGTGCTGAATCAGAATATCCACACAATCAATCTACAGCCCATGGATAGTCCCAAACCATCCACCAACAAAAACCCTGTCAACTGTCCCTCCCAGCACCAAATATCCATTTTTTAAAAATCTTTCCCTGATTAAGACATCTCTTGTTCTAACTGGTGTTTAATTAAAGTGATGGTGAGCACACTTTCAGGTGTTAAAGTGATGGTGTTTATTCTTGTGACCCATTTCTCTCCTTTGCCAACTTTTCCATTACATGGTTGACTACACCAATATTACAGAAAGTTCCCACCTCCCCCCAGTGGAATGTTGTTCCTGAAGAAACTTTCGTATTCCAATGAAAGTGAGCAATCTTTTTTTTTTTCTTTTCTGGTTTTAGAGTTCTGTCTCACTGGTCCATCTCAAAACCCTTCACTGAAGACAAAGGAAGATCTGGTACCCAACAAAACTAGGTTACCTTTGTTTATAATGGACCTGTTAACCATGTCACCCTTTAGGCTGGTGTTTCAAAAACAACATCACAAACCTGATGAATTTCATCGTTTTCCTCCATCCAGAAGGCAGATGAGAGTCTGACTCACTAACCCTAATTTAGATTGGGAGAAAGAGGTGGTGGTCTTGGTTCTTTCAAGTCCAGCTACTTAAAGAATGCTTACTCAAGAGAATAGAGCCTAGAGTTCAAGCAGCTTGCAGGAAAGTAAGAGGTGGTCCTGGCCCTGAGGTCACTTGTGATCTAGAATGCCAGAAGAGACAGGTACAAAAATAGCTCCAAATGGCTAGGTGCCAGAGGTTCGGGGGAGGGATGGGAATAGGCCATAAGGCACTAAGTCAGCAACCCAGCCTAATGTTGTGTTTGTTTTCTTAAACCTGCCAGTGCTAACTCTTCATCACCTTGTCAAATTGAAGGCCCCCCTTAGAAACACAACTTAGAACCTACTTGCAATGTCTCTGTGATTCTTACACACCCACACAACTGTTTGTGTAGGCCTTGGGCCTGTGCTCCTTGACAAAGCTATGCAAGCCTGTAGGTGACCAAAGAAGAAAACTCCTGGGTGGTTTCATCCACATACTCCACTTTCAACTCAGTGGCCAGCATTTACACTCTGGGGCTCTCCAACTGTCTTGTGGACAGGACAGGCCTTAAAGAAGCCCACATACCTGCAGACTTACATCCCAGTATACATGAACCACTTGGAGGTAACACTTTGCTTTTAGGGTTGGTTTGGTTTGGTTCTGGCAAATAAACACAGACCAAAGAATGACAAATATGTCCCTCGATTAACTGCATGTTTGCTCTGCCAGTTCAGTTAGGAAGTAGAGTGGACTATCACATGGTCAGGAAATCTTAATAAAAGAATCATTTAAACACATTAGCCATGGCTCAAAGGCACCCAGCTTCTCCCCAGGCTGGTATCGACAACAAACAATTCAGACCAGCACCCGAAGCGATCCTAAGGGGCAAAGTGATCCAAGAAACCCAGTAATTCAGTGTGATGTCTACCTACTGCCAGGAAATGCTCTGCAGGTGTGATGGCTTCAGAATCTTGCTCCATAAAGCTCACTGGGCTGCACACAACCTCTCAGATCTGCACCTGCCTCAGCCTCTGACATCTCTGACTTGCTCTCTGGCATCTGTCTTATACAGAATGAGATGGTTGCTTGCTTCTTCTACACTGCCACCCAATTCATGCTCCCCCTTAGCTTGGGATGTAGAGGTACCAAGGGGCACACCTGGGGTGAAGCCAGCAATCATCATCTGCCTAGAGATGTATCATGGGACCCTGGGATGGTCTTACATGAGGAGGAGGGACCACCCCAATCTGACAAAGCTAAGCTAGAAGGAAAACCTTGTATAAGTATATCTGTATACATTTATGCATCCATCAAGCATTACTGTAAACCAAAAACATTTGTCCTGGTAGGGAAAGAAAAAAACAAACAAACTGGACCCTGAAGCACCTGAGCTTTGTTTGGGCCATTTTCTGTTCATAAGGGTTGATTACAGAGCTGCTGTAGGATGAAATTCTGCTCCAAAATTCAAGGATCTGCGTTAAATGTATACCCCAAGCCAGAATGTTTATAACTTACTTGTATACCAAGAGGAAGCTAACTCCTTGGGCCTCAACAATGCCTTCTATTTAGAGGACCAGAGGCTAAAGAAAACAAGATGTCAAACTTCCCAGGCAGCACAAACAGTACATGCAAAAGTCCTGAGGCAGGAGAAGGGTAATGCACTTGAAGATGGGAATAGGTGGGAAATGACTGATACAGATATGATGGGTGACTGCATGGTATGTAGGACCAAGCTATCAGGAGAGAAGGCTGGGCTATCTGCAAAGCCTTACAAGCCACATAAATATCTGACTCAAGAGCTAAAGTGACTGGCTTTTATCACTAAAGGTGACTTGTCAAATGTTATGCTTCTAAAAGACCAGGAAGGCAGAAGAATGAATAAAGCATTAGAGGTGGACCACATGCCAGTATGAAAGGACCAGCTGATGGCTGCCGCAGGAGTTCTGGCATGCACAGAGATGTGGTCCAGGGATATAATGAGAGGCTGCTAGCCTCCAATGAAGAGGCAAAGTTTTCAGAGCATGGAGGTGGCACAGATGTCGATGCTAATATGGACTGTGGCACTAGGTACTCATCCTCCAGGAAGGGCCTCAGAAGGGAGACTAGTCATCCCTAGGGATGATCTTGTGCTTGTTTGGTGACTATGCTGAATTTGACATACTTTGGACGTATCACCAAGAAGTTGGATAGTACAGTGGATCAACTCTTCCCACCAAACCCCGGGTTCAGAAAGTGAGTTTCAGTCACCTGCAATGGTGGCCAGTGACTCTGCGCCTCTCCCAATGGGTCTGAAAGCATTGTTCCCATCCTATCCCATCCCATCCCCCCTACCCTATCCCACCTCCAGCAAGAGATAAAGCTACAAGCTCATCACTCAGGAGTTTCTTTTTGTTCTTCAATCAGATCTTTAGGTGACCTGCAAGCTCCCCAATAGGGCTACTGCTCAGAAAGGCAGACCACCACGGGCAGCTGCAGATGGGCTGTGAGATCCCCAGGAGTGCAGCTCCCCGAGTTTCAGGGAGAAGAGACTCAGAAGAAGTTCTCCAGTGCTGGGGCCACAGATTCTCTCACACATCCCTAAAGCCCCTGGGTTCAGCCAGAATCAGCCTCAAGAATACTCTGTCAGCTGATGCAACAGCAAGAATAGCATGCATGCACCTGATTATTGGAAGAGCCCATTTCTCCTCTGTTCCCATCTCCCCGATGTTTGGTTAGCATTGTCAACAGGTCACAGTGACATAATGTTCACAGAGTCCTCAGTGCTTATAGCAGAGCAAAATAAACAGGTATCCATGGCCCTGACTGGATCAGGCACTCCAAGACTGGCACAAAATCTCATGCTACACCCCACATAAAACACTTCCCACAGTGGGACAAAAGCTCCCTTTGAGTTACGCTTAGGCTCCAGACTTCCACATGTTCCCTGCAGGAATTTGCCAAAGCAAGAGAATGCCCCAAAATGAGGAGCTTGTGGCACAAGCCAGGGCTCTATGACCCAGCCATGCTAAAAGCTGCCTACCAAGTATATATCCAGACATCAATGAGCCTGAGGGGGGCGGGGCACTTACTCCTTCTCCCTCCCACCACCGCCCCCCCAGTCAGTAAAAAGAAAAAAAAATCTATTAGAAATGAAAACTCTTGAAAGGATGAGATGGAGACGCAAAATCATGAGACATTCCAAGGAGGAGGGTGAGGGAGGGGAGAGATGAGAAGTGAGATCCACTCTTGCTCATACATAGACCAAGAGAGTTCTGTGTGAATCAACTATTCCAATGACAACAACCCAGACTCAGCTGGCAAAAAAAGTGGAGGGGGGGAGGGAAAACATGTTGTGATCAAAGAAGACTACTGCATATGGTAGACCACCGCCATTCCCAAGTGCACCTGTATGGCCTCTCCCACCCAGACCCACCCCCTTCAGAGGCCTGAAAAGCAACCTGTCTTGAAAACAGAGCCATCTTTCAGAAAGGGGACAAGGCAGGTCATGGCTGTGGGGCTCTGAAATTCAGCTTCAATGGAAGGTTTGTGGTGTGCAGTGTGGGAAACTCAGACCGGCTTGAAGCTCACCTGCCCACCAAGTGAAATTCAAGGTCCCTCTTTAGAGCCCAGTGCCACCTTTATAGCTTTATCTTTCTGATGAGAGATTAAATGCTCACTTAAAGTTTAAATGGACTTTTAAAAAGTCACTACTTTGATCCTTTTGCAGTCTACATGGTTTTAAAGTTGTAAAACCATTAAGATCTCTATCCAGAGATAATCTAGGTCCCTTATTCAGGGACTGAGTTTAACTGGGAGTCTGTTCTGGCTACTTAATATTCCAAGCTAAAAGTTCTGGGGGAAGTTCAGGAGCAACTTCTACAGACAGGTTCACTCCCTGTGGGGGTGGGATAGATGGTGGGGGGGGGGAGGTAGAAGTTTTCCTAAGCACTGAAACAGGTCCAGCTCTCACAAGCCTGCCAGACACCCACTTCCAACACACATTTACAGTAGAGTCTACTGACATGATACTTACGAACAGTGTCATTACTGGAATCCCACGCCTCCACAAGCAAAGTGTAGGACCTCTGCAAGACAGATAAGCAAACGTTAGTGATTCAGAAGGAGAGGTCAGCTGTCTAATGTGGGATTCTCTTGGCTTCCCTGCATGCTCCACCCTACCCCATCAAACCAAACTATAAAACCTAAATGAAAATCTTATTGGCCAACACATGGAGGTGTTGGGTGTCTAAATCAGATCATCCCCCCTCTCCTCTTCAGTATTCTCCCCAGGCTAACAAATGACTCCTTTCACCTGGCAGGGGTCCACTAGGGTCACCTGCTTGCAGGCAGTCCAAAGCTCTGAAAAGGAGATGCTACCACCCTATAATGGGAACACGCCGCTACAGTTTTCCAAAACTTTCCAGACCCCAATGCCAGCGCATGAGAAGGAAAAAAAAAACCCACACAAAGAATTTATTCTAACCTACCCAGGTATTTGTACCAAGGGGGTATTGCTAAGGTTACACTTTGGGCCCTGGTAGGACGGTCCCCAGGGAGGCCCCCTTTTCCTTTTCAGAACCTTTTTGAAAGCCCTGTCTGTGTGAGACCATCCCAGCTCCCACAAGTATCAGGTAACTCTAGGAAGCAGGAGGGGGTAGGTGCAAAGAGGCTCTGAGACAAAGAAGGCGTCCTAACTTGGTGGTGGGGTTGGGGGTGGGGGTGGGGACATACTGGGTAAGAAAATACCAAGATCACCGCACACCCATGGGTTGTATTTATTGATGAACTTATCTGTCAATAGGATCTAACATTCCCGGAAAAATCAGAGACCAATAAAGAAATTCTCTGGATTCTGGACAGAAGCCAGCTATTATACTGAGTCACTTTTTTCAATTTCCCAGGATCATCTCAGAATTCCACACCAGCTTCCCCTCCTAATCTATTAGCCATTGCCTGCTTTTACTGATATTGGTTTGCAACGTGCAATGTGTCTGGGAGTGTCCCAGACGCCAGGGTTTCAATGAAATGCACCCACAACAGGTAGAGAGGAAAAAAAAACATGAATACATATCTACAGCCCAGCACGGCCACTGTCATAAACTCAAGCCCTGGAAATCATAACATGGACTGATTAACCTAACATTGTGATCCTAGCAGCCCACTGCTGCCAGTGAAGAGAAGGAAGCAATAAGGTAAAGACCAAAAAAAAAGTGAAAAAAACTTTCATTCATAAATCAAGGCAAGCTCATTGCTCTCAGTGACACAGCAGGTTGTCTCTCACTAGAAAAATATCTTGTGATAGGCCCGGACTTGGAATTCAGCCGAAATATGTTTCATACTCAAAGCAGAGCAGGATTCCATTTCGTTCACTGATAACTGTGGGAAAATGCTCACAAAAAGCAAGCAAAACCGGGCAAGCCGGGGCACATACCCAGCCCTCTCCTTTTAGTGGTCACAAGTCCAAATGCATTGTTGTTGTCGTTAATGTTTTATTAGTGAAAGTTACACCTTATTTACAGCCTCTTTAAGTTTCCTAGGACTTCCTACAAATTACAGGACTCGTCCTAAAGAGCAACAAGAAATTATATTTCTCTACTGATAGGAGGGGGGGGCCAAAACGAAACGAGGCCAGATGTGTGGCTGATTCTGTATAATTAAGCCCTTCATTTGCTGGTCAAGTTGAGGCCCACATCCTCCACTTCAACAATATTGCTGTAATTAATCCTCTGATTAAATGCATTGATACCGAGAGTTTTGACAGACTTGCACAAGCACTAAACACATAATACCCACAAACACTTCTGCAAGCGAAGGTGCCCCAGGACTGAGCTGCCATGGCTATATGAACTCTGCTTAATACTCAAAGTGGAAGGCATCCTTAGTTCTTGCACAAGAACTTGGAAGACCAAGCAGTCTGTCAGGCTCCTCCTCGACACAACACCACCTCAGCCTGAGGAGAAGTCAGAATGGTACCCACAGTTCTAGGGGTTTAGTGTCACGATTTCCCACCAGTGCCTTCCTTCTCCTTCTCAGAAGTGTGAGGGGAGGAGGAGGAAGTTTGCAGTATCAGCAAGGAAGGCTGGACTATGCTTCTCCCTTGTTTCAGAGATGAGGGTTCCAGGTCTCCCGGGGCATGGGTACCCAGTCTTCAGAGAAAAGGATTCCCTTCAAGGCTCCTATTAAGAGGCATTCTGACCTCCCACTCCATCCCCACACTATAGATCAACAATCAAGATAATTTAGCAATGATTGTTAATTGCTAGGGAACTTTAATTTTTCCCAGGCCCACGCCTGACCTCTGTACATCCCTGACTATACATCCAGACTCTTGAGATTCCAGACCAGGTGCACCCCATGCCATCAAAGCAGGTGCCAAGCTACATCAGCAATCCCCTAAGATGGAGTCACACCCAACTGGCTGCTTCAAACCAGATCCCAAAGCAGAATCTAAAAGCCACACCCCCCACTCCCACCTCCCACCCCCCACCTTAGGAGGGCTTAGAAGGGCAAGTATGTTCAATCTTAAACTCATGTCAACAGACAAGAAAAGGAAAAGCAAATACGATGAAACTAAGACCTTTAGAAAGAGTCACTGGATTTCATCTTTTTCTCAGTTCTACCCAGAACAATAGTCCTGGGCAATGCAGAAGGGATGGGTGGGTAGTTAATAGATCCTCCTCAGTTGGTCGGGATTTGCAGTGTGAGTCATTTCTGCCCCTGCCCAGGTCCAAGCCCAAGGACATCTGGCAACAGAGCAGCTGGTTCCCATTCTCATGCAGCATTGAAAAGGACTGGTCAGCTTTCACAATTGCTTTGGGGAAGATTTCCATGCAATGTTACCTAAAGGAAAAGTCTTGGCATCGAAGTCCTCAAGGCATGCCAAGGGCCTCTAAGGGCTACTAGGGCCTACCCCACAAGACCTGGTCACCAGCACCTCCTCCTGCCTTCCATGCTCAGATTGCTCTTGTAAGATATTGTGTTCTGCATCCTGCCCCACTCCATGGTGGTTACCTTGGCACTGGGCAGAGCAGTAAGCACTTAATTGCCACATTAAGAAGGGGGGATGTAAGAAACAAAGGTAATTGTGTTGGCAGCTGGGAGCTTCCTTTTCCTGGCAACAGTAGCAGCCAAACCAAGCCCTGAGAAGCGGCTGCCTTCCCTCCTGCCAAGCTGACGGACACAAACAAACCGCCATCCAAACGGCACGCGTGCGGCGTCCAAAACCCCAGGCCGCTGCGACAGGCAGGCCCGCCAGAGGCACACACATATCCTGGGAATGCCCCGCGTGCCAACATGGCCATTGTCACAGCCGGTCTGCCCCAGGTCTGTCAGGGGCCCTGTGCTCTGCTGACTCAACTGTTGCTTCCTGTCGCTTGTCCTGTATTAGCAGTATTTTTGGAGAGGCCCCATTCTTCTCTGTAATCCTCATTTCAGTCAATTCGGCCAACTCTATTGTCCTTCCCCATGTCTGGGTGGCCTGAGTATAAAATATTCCAGTCACAAAACATATTAAACAAAAAAAGGTTTTCAGGAAGTCCGTGTGTGGGCACACTTACACACGCTAGCACACACAATTCGCATCTCATATGGTTTTGGCAACGTGAGGGAGCCGAAGACAACTACCCTATTGCATGCAAGCTGGGGCTCCAGTCTCTGAAAGCAATGAGTCTGCAAAGCTTGACATGTCAATAGAGTCCGATCTGGTTACAAAGGGTGATTTTCTCATCAAAGCCCACCTCAAAGGCTCACCAAGTGGCCCCAGAGCTCATATCCAGATTTGAGACTCTCAGTGAGAGGCCCCTACCCCTTTCCCATCATTACCCTTACCTGTTTGAAAGGCATCCCACTGATAATTAAATGCACCAGTTACAAAAGGGTGGCGAGGTTAATAGAGAGAATACTGAGAAGCCAGCCAAGCACAACGGTCTGGGTTCACACAGAGCAAGCCCGAACAAGAAGCCTTTCTACTTATTTACCAAAAGTGCATTAAAAACTGTGTTGTGCTGGTAGAGGACTCTCAATGCTTGCCTATTCACTGACCCCTCCTAACTACTAGGAACCACTCCGGGCAATTTCTTCCTTGCCTTGTACATGCACTGCACCAAATGAGAGATGTCACTGACACTATTAAAAAAAAAAAATACTAACTATGGGCTTCCAGTGGTCCACACAGTATTCAGAAACTAGCTAGAAGCCACAACGTGGTCACTCAGCAAAGATGACACATTTCTGAACCCAGGATCTCTCCATCCATTTCTACTATCCATCTAGGAATTCCACTTTTCACACCTTCTGACATTAGCTTCCAACATTTGGAAGAAATAGTTACTGTGTTCTGATATTTTTTTAAGTATATTTAAAAGCTGGAGCCAAGTGACCCTTCCTTCATGAAGGCTGGAGACTAGCTTTTGGGACAGGGCAATCGGGAAGGCCTACAAAAGTTTAGGAAAGGAAAGTTCTCAGGAATTCTTGCCTTCACGGATTAGGAAGCTAACTATGTCCAGAGATTATGCATTCTTATGTCGTAGCTAATCTTAAAAACCTGACATTAGGATAAATTTTGGCCCTTCTACAATGGCACCGTTGGCTGCCAAGGCCTCTGCTTGCATTCCTCTTTTTAGATCGGGAACATGAAGCCTTTTTATTGACCTTATTATTTCATGAACAAATCTCTCCATTCTCAACTTCCCACATGCCTTCTAACCAAGGAAGTCCCTAAAGATACAACCACTTGATGTAAAGATTCTGGACAGCCTTCAGATTTGCTGGTGTTCTGGGAAGTTCCAGGCTTAATAAGTTGATGCAGCCTCTCCTCCTCTACCCACTCAAATCCAATAGTCTCTAGGCAAATGCTTCACCGTTTTCTACAAATGTTTTTAGTCCCTGCAGAATTATGGGTGTGGAGCTGGTGGTGGGTTGCAAACTCATGCAAGTACTGCAAGTTTGAATAAGTTGCTAAGAAACAAGACAACAAGGAGGAAGAAAACACAGAGAAGGTAACACCTGCAAGAGAAGAAAAAATATTAGAAACCAAGTACCTGGAATTCCACATGAGCAGCAGCCCCTTAAGAACTGCTCTTTCAAAAGCAGCACAGCTCCACTTTGCCCTAGGAAAGGAAAAGTGGCTTTTCCAACAGACAGGTCATTCCATCCCTTTAGTTTAAGGTAGATTACTTACAGCAAAAGAGATTTTATCCACACACTGAAAATACGCTTGGACAGAGCAGGAACACATGTGCACTGCTGGCATACATGCTAACTAAGTAGGCACAAACACAAACTGCACAAAAGAGCCCGCTCAGAAGTGAAGCACATCCCTCTACCTTCCTTGTGTCCTATTATAGGAAAGATGAGGCAAAGGCAAAGACTGGTCAATCACATTCTGTGATTAACGCCGTGGTGGCCAATTATTCAACCCCCTGCCAACTGGCCAGTTAGGACCATTAAGTGGGAAAGGGGCCCTGGCTGGCATCCCTCTGGTATGTAGGAATCAACATTTCATTGGATTTTCCAGAAATAATTAAGTCGACCTAAGCAAGCTTTTGAATGGAGTCAGTGGTGGTTAAATATGAAGCCAGATCCTTCAAATGTTTCCCCCAAAGTGTCTCCAGATTCATTTCATTTGGGGCTACCAAAGGTATCCCAGTGGGTGCTTAAGATTTCCAAAAAGGAGTGGTAATTACACAAACATTTTTAATAAGAAGGCACTAAACTGTGGGAGGTGAAAGTCAACCATTTGGTTATTCCCAAATCCTCTTGTTAAGCCCAATTACTCCTTATAATGATTTCTAACTCGGGCTCCCATTTGAGGAACATAAATCAGGCTAGTCGTTGCTTCAAGTCAGGTCCCCTTGTGTCAGAGATGGTAGAGCAATTATAAGCCACTGGTGAAAAGCTACAAGACCAGGGCTAGAGCGGTGGACACTAAGTGGAATGTAATTCCACATGATATATGGCAGGCAAGCCTACCTCTACAGAGCTTCCCACATGCACAGTGGAATGTGGATTGTATTTCAAATCATTTCCTCCTCTTCTCTTGCTTGATTGGGGTCATCATGCCAAATAAAAGATATGAATTCCACCACATTCTCCAACTGACCTATCCTTGCTCCTCAACCACTGTTCTTGGCATGTCAACAACTTTAGGACACAATTCATAGCTGGAAGACCAAGGGAAAGCTCCAGTTTTGTTCTGAAAACCATATATCCTCTTCTTACCCCTTCAGTTTTATACCGCACTCAGCATTACCAATCCAAGGAAATCCATTTCCCTTTTTTTGCTAGGGCATTGTGCATGTGAGACAAACACTCTGCCACCCAGCCATACCTCTAGTCCCAGAAACCAGTCTTTTAAGATAGTTAGGTTAATAGCCCAGGTAAATGATCCTGTGCCACTGAACTTCAACACTTGCTCAGCTGAGGGCCTTCACTGAAGTTTACATTCACCCTGGGGTCATTCATCAAAGTTACAGACTGTAGTGTTTCTCTAACCACATTCAGGAAAATAAACTCAAACAATACACCTAAACTCCAATTTCTCTTGGGAAATAAAGCTTATGTTTCACAGGAGGCCTTTTGGGGGCAGCAGGGTGGAGACTTGTTTATGAGTGATACACACATTTGGCCCAACTTCAAAAGAACCACATTCTCAATGTTGCCCTCACATCCCCCCCCCCACTCCCCACCCCATGCTAGAAACGCTGGGAGTCTATTTCATAGCTTATGACCCAGGGGGCCTGAAGGCACAGAAGAGCCCTAGCGAATCCATCTCCTCCCCTGCCCTCTCACACCATTTCCGCTACTTCTCCAGGGAGGACTCTGCCAAATGTCAAAAGCAGACTGACACACCTTCTAGGTCAGTTTTCCACAGCCAGCCTTTGGAGGAGGCCTCTGTTTTCACACAAACCATCCTCTGACCCTACTCTCCTAAATAAACCTTGGCCAGGCCTGCTGCTTTTCCACATCACTAATAAGATTCCTTTTATGGTCTTGTGAAAAGCAAGGGGCTCAGACTGATCCTTGGGAGGGTGGAACCACCTGCGGGCCCCTTCCTCAACTCCAAACACAGTTCAAGGGCAGCCAGTATTGGCCCATCAGCTTGGGCCCAGCCAGATTTAAAGGTGGCCGGCCTCTTTAGCTTCGTGTTCTCCCTAATAGGGGATTAACAAACGGGACAAACACTGTAAAAGTGAATTAGCGCAACAGAAACAGCCTCTCAAGAAGTTTTCGGGAGAACTTCACATACAGTTTTTAAAAGAAGACCATTTAATAGCATGTCTTTGTCTAACTGTCTTAAAGCAGAGGACGCTTTACAATACCAACTCCTGAAACCAACCACAGACCCCACACCTCACACCCAGACCTCGCCAGACACACTCCCCCTCCCCTTCTGCAGCTGGGAATCACAGCCTGGGCCGGCGGATAGGAGGCAGCAGAGCGCACCCCACCGGAGCACGTGGTGGAAAGCAAACCTCAGGCTCGGGAGCTCCCCCCACTCACCCCAGAGAGTACAGGCTGAGCCAAGTCCCAATCCTGGCAGTGAGTCACACCTCCTGGGCAGCGGGCACACCCCCAACATTTCCCTTTCCTCCTCTTTCTGCAATCGCACCCATCTTCCTTCCACCCATTTTGGAATGTTGCAAGGGCCCTGCTAGCTACCGCGTCTGCCAGCTGGGCCCAGACCTCGAGCTGCTCCAAGAGGCCTTGGAGGAGGGGAGAAGGGTCCCTGCACTTGCACCCAAAAGCACTATCTCCAGCGGGCCTGTCTCTTCCAAACCTTGGCATAGCCCCTGAAGAGGTTTACGGGAGGTGGAGGGGGCGGGTGCCCGCCGGACGGGGAGTGTGTGCGCCCGCCCTTCCCGGGGAAGTTTGCAAACACAGCTGTTCAAGAGCTCGGGCTCGGGAACCGCTGGAAGTGAGGCCACAAGGGCTGCAGGGCGCGGGGGCGGAGGCGGGCGCAGAGGCCGGCAGGGGCCGGCAGGGGGCAGGGGTGCCCGGGTCTTTAGCCTCGGCGTGTAGACAATCCCCCCCCCCATCGCTACCCCACCCCCGCGTCTGGTCGCAGGCGGCCGCCCCTGATCTTTGGGCCCAACCGGGAGAGCGCCCTTGGGTAGACCAAAAATCTCCCGGGGAGCCTCCGGGAAGCCGGCTCCCCCACACCCTCCAGGAAGGACGCACCCGCCCGCTGGGCTGGCCGTCCACGGGAAAGGAGAGGGTGCCAACTTGGACGGCTTTTGCAGGCCAGAACTGCGCGGAATCGCCCGCCACCGCCGCGCACCAGGTTTAATTAATTAAGCCAAGAGATCACCTACAATGACCTCTTAGGTGGGGGGAGGGGGATCATGATTACGGGTGTTTCCAAGTTGCAAGTTTAAACCCGCCTCCTTAGGAGCCATCCCTCACCAGCCTCTCTGGGAACCCCCCCCAACACACACACACACACACACACACACACACACACACACTTTTACGCATTAAACAAACAGCAGTGAGGATGGGACCCGCCCGGCCCGGTCTTACTCCCAACTAGAGTTTGATCTGCCCACCTCCATAAGAACGCCCCCAAGTTGGAACCGAGTGGCAAGGCACTTTAAATCCTCCAAACAAGGGGGAGAGCAAGTGGGGGGGGGGAGAAGGTAGGGGTGCGAGCCACACGCTCCTGCCCGGGCCTCCCTCGCGGAGTCGGGTCACTTACCGGCCAGGCAAAACTGAAGGGCAGCACGATGCGATTGCGGTCGTGGCCGCGGCTGGCCTTGAGGTTGAAGGTGTTGCCCCCGATGACAGGCGTGGACCCCGAGCCGAAGCTGCAGGGGCCCCCGGCCGTGACGCGGGACTGATACTCCTTGAGGCACACTTTGAAGTACGTGTCACACTCGTCGCGGGTGCATTTGCGGTCCCCAGGGTTCCGGGAGCCACCGCAGCAGTTTCCGTTCTGCAGTTCTCCGTTCACGTTCTGCATGGACAGGATCTCCAATTCGAATTGCCCCGACGCCCCGCACACCTGCCGGGCCGAGGAAGGGGGGGGGGGAGGTCAGCGCAGCGCGGGAGAAAGTTGGCTCCGAGGGTGAAAAGTGAAGACTTCCCTCCCCCTTCCGCCTCCCTCCCCGTCCTCACGAGGCTTTCGGCACCGAGTAAAAATTCAGTTTTGAAACTCTCGGTTCGAGGACTCGACGTGAGTCGGAGAGCATAAAAACGCATAAATACGAGCGGGGGGGGGGGACCGACGACTGGCCTCGAAAATAAACCAAGAACGCAGCCTCCAGAAATCCCCAAGTGGGAACCGGTTGCTCTCCAGCCCAGGTGCAGCCCGTCGGGCGCACAGGCCGGGCGCCCCAGGGCTCCGGAGCCCGCTGCTTGGCGCCCAACCGCCCGCGTGCAGGGCGCCGCCGAGGGAAAGGGAGAGGGCCGCCGGGGTGGGGAGGGGGCGGGAGGGAGGCCCGGACCCTGCAGGATCCTACCTTGGCTCGCAGGGCACAGAGGAGGGCGAGCAGGAGGCTCAGGGGGCGCCCGGGCCGGCCGCGCGTCCGTGGGGACCGCATCGCTGCGCCGCGCG